AAAGATCTATTTTATATATTTTTTTTATGTATTTTATTTTACAAGAGGTGGGATGTAGGCCAGAGGTGTGGGGGGGTGAGAGGATTTACCAGAGTCATAATGGAGAGCAGAACAGGTAGGCTAACTGAAATACACTGCTGAGGGGGGCAGTGGGTGAGACAGGAGAGGTCTGCTGCGCCATGTGGGTCACCTCCCTGGCAGGGGATGGGACTCATGTTACAGTGGCTGCCAACAGCTTGATAGTACTGGTAATGCTGGGACTTAACCCCTCATGCCACCAGGGAGGCCCCCTACCTGTATATTTCTAGAGAGAAATATAATTAAGGATTGACACCCCCTAATGAGTTATTAATCTTAATAAACTTTCACTCCAGACTTCACAGTTCACTCAAATGGTAGTTAAACTTTCATTTCTTTTCTGGTTTCAATTCTTATTTTTTGTATGAAAAGCTGCAGGAATCCCTTTTTGAGAGAGCTTCTCTTTGAAGGAGTCTATGTAGGCGGGGCAGCATGTCCATTACAGCTGTGTGCTTTCATTCTAAGCAGAAAATCAAAAGGGTTTAAAAAAAACCAATCTGCATATCTGAATAGTATTATTAACTAGTTAAACCAATAAAAATAAAATTATCCTTTAATTTTTTATTCCATACATTTAATTCTCTAAAAAAGAGCACTATTTGAGATACATTAGAAACACCTCTAATCTGCAAACACATTTGCACCAGCTTCTATTTATAACAGTAACATAGAGCCAACCTTGTACGTTATGTTCTGGCAGTTTTCATCCACAGATGCATTCAGGATAGGAAACTGTAACAATCCCAAGGAAGCAGCCTGTTTAACAGAAAGAAAATGAGACTTTAATATTTCTAATATTTCTAAGCAATAAGAAGAGATGTAAAGACAGGAGGAAGAAAATGTTTATCACTCCCAGTGTTACCTTCAAAGCAGTGTGGAACTAGGTTAAAAGACAGTCATATAACTTCTAAATATCAAGGAGAGTTGCACAATAATTATACAGCTTAACGAAAGCACAAAGGAAAATGTTTAAATTCTAACTGATGTGCAAACCTGCATCCATGACCCTACTCCTTCATTCATGCATTTCTACTCTTCCTGTAACCTGATTCTGAGCTTAATCTATGACTTAGTCTTTGGTAAGTGAGTTAAGAACAGTTTCAAGTAACAGAGCTTAAATGCTGCAGAGCTAAAATGCTGCTTTTTCTCTTCATCCCTGCCAAGGCTCTGGGACCACGTGTAGCTAGTACACTGGTGAAATGAGCGAGAGAAGGAAGAGACCACCTTTGCTAAGGCCATTCTACACCAGCCTGCCCTGAGCCAGCCCACTAGCTGTCTGCCAATATCGGCAGATGGTCCTGTTTCCCCCGCAGACTCATGAGAAATAATAAACAGCTGTTTTCCAAACAATTAAATTTGGGGATTGCTTGTTCTATAGCAAGACACACTTGGCTACTTGGTGAGTCTTTCCTGGTTTTCCTGTATCAGACCAACAACCTGTTTCTATCATTTTTTGCCAGCTCAACTTCTGCCTACTCCTTAAATAGTGATGTGAAACGCTTATCCTTCCTTTCTGCACTTTCACACACAGGATGGGTGATCTCAATTGCCCTATCTGCAGATGAGTCTATTGTAGGATCTAGTTCCAGCCTCTTATTCATTGACATCTACAGCTCATTGTAGAGCATCCATTTGCTTGCTAGAGTATCGTTAAAAAGTGGAGATAAAGGAGACCTGTTTCTACCTTGAGTCTCAGCATCCACGGAAGGGACAAATGAGTAAAAACTTGCAATACACTGAGATTAACTACAATGGGAAACAGAAGTCATTTATCTCAAACTATGACAGCCAGAAGGGTCTTGGAAGCAGCTATACCTACACTAAATGTGGCATTTAAGACATGCATACATTTGATGAAGGAAAGAGGGGGTATTTGACTGGGGTTTTGTGTCCTACAAATATTCATAGCTTAAACTGGCTACAATAGATAAAGGACCCATGCGAGAAGAAAGCTGGAGAGCTAGGGAACAGACTCACCTTAATGTTTGTATGCCATAAGGAACTATCCTGGAGCCGGTGAGGGAAACCACTGTATGTAGGGAATACCACAATAACCTGACTTACAAAAGCTCAGTTTTGATGCAGTACAGAATAGAGCTGGTGGGAAGTCACGCTGGGGTTAGAAACGGTATGTATTTTTGAGTAAAACAGACTTGATCCTTACTTATTAGCTATACATGCTTGACAAGATTCTCAACTTCTTTGAGTCCCACTCCTTAAATGCAAAGTAAGAATAGTGGTATTTACATGACAGGGCTATTCTGAGAATTAGGAGATAGATATGCAATATGCTTGGTATGGTGTCTGGCACACAGTAGCTGTTTCATAAATGGTGGTTACTGTGTACTAGGTTGAGCTACTCAAAGTAGGATGAGGGGCTTATTCAGTTTACACCAGTCCCCAGGGTTAGTACTGGAAATGATTCCCAGAAGTATCAGTATTAGTTTGTTAAATGAAGCAAATACATGTTTCACTTTTTGTTTAAACAGGATTTTGCTGGAGTGAACCTACCAGAATTCAAGGATTTACTTAATAGGCAGAACAATCCTCACCTGGCTCAAAGATATAAGTAAGTAAGAATGTGACAGAGAAATTTCAACTTTATAAATTCCTCTGAAACAGTGTATTTATGCATTTTTCTAACTACATGGTATAGGAAGAGTATTTGTATTTGAATCCATAGTTAACACACTGCCTAGCTGCAAATCAATTTTTCTTCTTTTTTTCTTGTATCTTTCTCCATTTTGGAACCATAAATTTTATTTCTCCCCTCAGGTATAGTCCCTGTAATTCTCCCACCAGCACAGCACCCATGATCCATAACCACAGTCCCTTGTGCTCGTCCCTCCTGTTTTGACTCCCTTTCCCCTCCCCTGTTGTATGTCTCGATCTATGGTCAATTTGCAACTTTTGTCTTTTTCCTGACCCTCTGTGGAGTTTCTCTGTATTCCACATGTGATACCATCTGATACTTATCTTTTCCACTGCTGCGTAGTATTCTACTGTGTATATATTCCACATTCTCTTGATCCATTCATCTAAAACATAATTTAAATATTCTACTCAGGCCTTGTTTAAAATGATCAAAATCTCACCTTTAAAAAGAAGGGCATAAAGGAGAGTTTAATTCCACGAGCCAAAGCAATGGGTTTTAACTCTTCTCGTAGTTTAACCAGTTCAGTAACGTTTACTTCATCACAATACCCGAAGTGAGGTATCTTTAGGGCTGCAGACATCGTCTTCACCATAGCTTTGTGAAAGCCTAGAAAAAAAAAGTGGGTTCAAAAATTCTTAAATCCTTTTTTTTTTTTTTTTTAACAAACACAGAAGGATTTCATTTACTCTCAAGCTCTTGCTCTTGGAGCAGCCATCTTCATTATATAACTTGAATTTTAATGGTGAACTACTTACTCTGGTGTTAATGTAACCAAATAACCAATAAGTGCTTTCAATTCAGTGATGTATAAAGAAACTCAAAAGGATGCTAGCTGTGTATTTACCCAGGTGATTTGCGTCAGAAGCCACTCTTCTGGAAGTTACTCATTCTAAGAGTTGATAACAGAGCAGGAGCCCTTATTTTATTTTTTTAAAGATTTATTTATTTGTTCATACAGAACTGGGGTACAGGCTAGAGGCTCAGGGGCGGTGAGAGGCTTCACCAGAGAGAGAGTGGGGAGCAGAACAGGCAGACCAACGAAGTACACTGCTGAGGGGAGCAGCGGGCGGGTCAGGAGAGGTCTGCCACGCCATGTGGTCACTTCCAGGGCAGGCGGGAATCAAACTCATGCGGAAGCGGCTTTAGATTCTCAGTGCTGTGCTTTAACCCGCTGCGCCACCAGGGAAGGCCAGGAGCCCTTATTTTAAAAGCTAACTTGGAGGCACTCCTTGGTGGCACAATGGGTTAAAACACAGCATTAGGAAGCTAGGCTCAGCCATTGCAGCACGAGTTTGATCCTGGCCAGAGGGAAGACCCATGTGGCACAGCAGACCTCTCCTGACTTGCCTGCTGCTCCCCTCAGCAGTGTACTTTGTCAGTCTGCCTGTTCTGTTCCCCACTCTGTATCTGGTGAATCCTCTCATGGCCCCTGCACCTCTGGCCTGTACCCCAGTTCTGCAAGCATAAATAAATAAATCTTTAAAAAGAAAAAGCTAACTAGGGCCCTCCCTGGTAGCACAGTGGCAGCACTATGAAACTCTCCACAGTCACTGCAGCATGAGTTCAATCCCAGTGAAAGGGATGACCCACGTGGCACAGCAGACCTCTCCTGTCTCGCCTGCTGTTCCCCTGAGCAGTGTACTTTGTCAGTCTGCCTGTTCTGCTCCCCAATCTGTGTCTGGTGAATCCTCTCACCCCCTCATACCTCTGGCCTGTACCCAGTTCTTGGATGCATAAATATATATATTTTTAAAGCTAACTAAAAATGATATTTAAAATATCCTGACCAAATCTTCACACAGAACAATTATAGTGTGTACCAGTTTATATTCAGAGAAACTTGCCAACAACTCAGAAATTAACACTTTATAAACTGCCAACATGCTCAGAAATTAACACTTTATAAACTGAAAGACTCTTATATTGTCGTTTAAAAGAATTATATGCTGAACTTGAACTTTTCCTTCAGCAAGGGAGAGCTGAAAATAGTTATTATATACATGGATCTACTGACAAAGCTCCCCCCAAATTACCTATGCTGTTACTGCATTTTACTGTTATTACCTTTTACAGGTTCTGTTCTGTCTTTGCCTGTAAAAACTGGAGGTTTTGATATCGGTATAGGAATAGTCTTGTCTTTTGGTTTTGGAGGAGGCGGCATAATTTCAGCTTTTGGTGAAGGAGGTAATATAGCTCCTGTTTGCTTTTCCAAGTAGTTGAGAATATCTTCTTTAAGTATTCTGCCATCTTTTCCTGAGCCAACAACTTCACTCAGCTTAATCTAAAAAATGACACATTTTAATGCTAAAAATAAGTAAATCCATCATTAATGTTTCTAGGTGAAATTTAATGAATGATAAAAATGTTCTCTGTCCAATCAATCAATGTAGTGAAATTACATTTTCATTATCTTAACAAATGCCATAAACTAATATTTCTGCCTTTCGTAAGTATCATTTGTTACTTTTATACACAAAAGCTTGGCCACATGGTAATGGTGTGATAGCTACATGATATATAATCCATAGCCATGTATGAAAATAACATTCTTAAATTGCCAACTATTTCATCTTTCTTATATAATTCTTATTTGATATTTTCTACTTGTATAGACTATATGAAGGAAGAAAACCCAGTATGAAGAGTTAAAAATAGTAACAAATTGTAAGGCCCATGTTTCTAAGCTTAGCTACTAGTAAATATGTTACAGTTAAAATAACCATCACACAAGACCTCTCTTGTATACTTTGGTGGTGATTTGGAAAGATCAATAAAAATTAATTTTACTAAGCCCATCTGAAATGTGAACTCCCCATCCCACATTGCTTTCTAGAGCATAAATAACAAGTGTTATGATTCTACTTTCACTAGATATCCAAGATACTTTTTGGAGACATGTAATCTGGCCTTATTAATCACTTTCCATGTTTAGCTGCAAAGATAAAAGTTATCAAATTTAAGTCTACTTAACTAAAAAGACACAAACTTGAGTGATATCCTTATATGCCATGTATGTGACACGTTAACCTCTCAGTCTTAAATCTTGGTTCATTAGTATTAGTGATTCTCTAGGGTAACTTCCAAAAAAGGAAAAATTGTATCATGTCAAACATTTGATTTAAACAAATAAATTTTAAGTAGTTACAGCAACTGTAAATGCCACTGGTTTTAAATTTTTAATAAACTGAATTCATAAATATGAAAACTACAAAAAAAAGATTTATAAAAAATTCCACTATTGCCAGGAATTATACAAATATTCCAGCTATATGCACCTTTAAGAGGTACTAAAGTCAAGTCACATATTCCTATAGGTCGCTGTTATGCTTTTCTTTTGCTGAGTTTACAAACTGAAGATCTGAGGCACTTCCACAGGTACCTTTTTTTCAACAGCACGTGCTCACTTTGTGACTATCACATCTTGATAATTCTGGCTAAACTCAAACTTTTTCATTCTTATGATGCCTGTTACAGTGACCTGTGATCTGTGCTCTTTGAGTTTACTATTGCAACTGTCTTGGAAGTAAATGAGGATATGGTGGAATTAGCAAGAGAAAAATTAGACCGGGAATCTGAGATGTGACTGAAATGTTGTAATGTAATGCTAAAGTAGGAATGCTTCTTATGGGTGAAGGAAGGTGGAATCTTTGAGTTGGAGTCTACTCCTGGTGAAGAGGCATAAGCATTGTTGAAATGACAACAAAGGATTTAGATTATATAAACTGAACTGATAAAGCAGCAGTGAGTGGGGAGGGGGAGTTTCAGAGGACTGACTTCAATTTTGAAAAAAGCAGTTCAGAAGTGCTACCAAACTGTCATTGCATGCTACAAGAAATCTTTCTTGAAAGGAAGAGACAATCGAGGTGACAGATGTTATTATTGTCTTATTTTAAGAAAATATCAGAGTCACCCAACTTTTAGCAACCATCACCCTGATCAGACAGCTGCCATCATCAGAGGCAAGACCCTCCATCAGCAAAAAAGATTACCAGGTGGGAAGGGTCAGATGATGGCTAGTATTTTTTAGCATTTGTAGCAATTTTTATGTAAGTAAGATATGTACATTGTTTTGAACAGCTATATACACTTAATAGACGAAAGTATATACCTTTTATATGCACTAGGAAGCTAATTTATGTGACTCATTCTATAGTGATACTTTATTGGGGTGTTCTGTAACCAAATACAGTATCTCTGTGAGTTTATATGTAACTAAGGAAAAAAAATTGGCAAAATGTTTTAGAATCAAAGTAATACACAAATCATTATTTTGCTTGATGCTCTTAATGTGGTATTCCATATTTTACTTTCTATTATGCTAAACTATCTTTACAGCTGAACCTATTTAATGGCTAATATAATGTCAACTAAGGGCTTATAACAATTTACTGAAGCACTTCCCTAATTTTGAATACATATGTGCCTTCTAATTTTGTTTATATAAAACACTTAAAGAATATAAAGTAGACAGTTCCTTTGAGATAGTTCTCTAGAGGAAGGTTAACTTCCCAAAAGGAAGGCTAAAGGGATATGAACATATCTCCAAAATAAAAACCTTTACTTTCTGCCAGTTCAACTTAACTGTTTCTTTCAAAAGCAAACATACAAAAATCCTGCATTGTGGAACACAGTAGAACAAACTCAGGCTTTGGAACCAGAAAGACTTATTTTCAATCCTCAGTCTACTACTTACTTGATTTTAGGCCAACTTAATCAACCTTTCTGCCCTTTCTCATCTGTAAAATTGGCATAATCCAAATCAGCTTGCAGAGTTGCTGTGGATTAAAGATAATGTATGTATAGTTTCTCAAATAAGTAAGTGCTTAAGTAATGGAGGCAATAGAGGCACTGTATAAAGCTAAAAGCACTGGTTTTAAAGTTACAAAACTCTCTTAAGAATCCTGCTTCTACCACTGCCTCAGGTGAGTGATCTTAGACCAGTTATTCCACCCATCTTGGAGTATTCCCCATATCATAGATTTGTGAAGATTAAATAATAGTATGTAAACAAGAGAATTCTTGCCTGGACCATTATGCACATTACCATCCTATCAGTCAATAACTGGCTGAAAGAGGGAATAGAGACTAGGCTCTCTGCATCAATTTAGTACAATTCTGTAGTTCCTCCCAAGTCCCTGAGATAAGGCCAGATTCTCGAGACCACGCCCTGGCCTTCATTTCCCTTCTCTGCCGGGAACATCACTCGGGCCCCAGTAAGCATGCACTCTCTCATCCGTCAATCCACTCAATCACATGTCCCCAAATCCTTGTCTCCAGCTGTTGTTTCCCAAGTATCTGATTCTGACTGACTAGTGTTTTTACAGGCATTCAATAAATCGTAGCTCTGGCTGTTACTGGGCTCAAAGGACAAATAAAACCACATTTCTTAATTAACATAGTAAGTTCATAGTTTCCTTCTCATTTCAAGAGTACTTTTGTGTATTATCTTTCAGTAATAGACATTCTCATATTTAACCCCCACTGGAATCATCTCACTATGGGATAGCTAATTTTTTATAGGTACAAATGTGCATTTTCAGTGCCACCTCACACGTTAAATAGTAAGAAGCCTTACATTGTTTTCCATGGCGAGGCGGCGGACTGCAGGAGTCGCCAGCGTTTTGTGGCCCTTGATCTCTTGGTGCGTGTGCTCGTCATGGGACACAGCGGGGGTCTCAACAACATCTTCTTCTGAATCTGGTAACGAAATAAAATTTTACTCTTTAATTGAAAACATAAAAGAGAGTCTTATTATATGTCAATAAATTCAACTTACAAGTTCATAGCAAAAAAATAGACAACTTCAGAAAGAGAAAAGTGTGTGTGGATGTATGTGTGTTAGTTTATGATTATTACCTGGTGTTTGGTTCAAGTTAAAAATTAGTTTCACTTTTAAAAACTGAGAGCTGTATTTTAAACATTTTCCTCATGAATTTCTCATCTAAATTAGTAGCATGAAGTAAGAATCAAATGTGAATTAGATGGACCATATGAAACCTGTGGCAATCTTAAACACTTTCCTAAGATCGTACAGCATTACATTGTTTTTCTTTATTTTAAGTACGGCTTAGAAGTGCCATGGAAGATTATATTTTCGTGGCTAACATTAATTCAGTGGTTCTGTCTCTAACTCTAGAGTACAATAGGTGTTCATATCCCATCATTCATTATAAGGATGAGACAAAAATTGATTCCTGGCCAGAATCACTGACTGTGGTCTGCATGTTCCCTCACGTCTGGTAACTGAGTTAACCTCCCAGTTACCAAAGCTATGCACTTTGGAGTCACAGGTGTGTCTCAAATGTCCTAATGTGAGTGACTCTGCTGAGGGGCATCAGTGCACAGCTGGTTCCTGCCTTGCACCCTGAGCTGCCAAAATAGACGCTGACAACTTGCAACATTAAACTGGTGGTTGGGAAGGCCCCAGCACATCCCTAGCACATGCTGAGGTATCCGTCTGGAGCAGGTTTGCAAGGCACGATGCTGCTGCTGGGTGAGCAGCCCTCTTGCTATTTATTTCACTATAATGAGCAAGCATGACTGATGATGTGACAATGGCAGGAAAAACAGGGCCCAGGGGAGACAAAGGGTATTCATCTTATGAGGAACAGGGCTTCAAAGGGGTCAAAGGGCAATCAGTTTTATGGGGAGCATGAGAGGGTGTGTCAGTAAGTATCCAGGGAGGTCTTCCTGTGCAGGTGCCTGCTGTAATTTCTGAGCTACTCCCAGGCTATCTTGGACACAATCAGTCAATGGCTGCCTAGGCGTCCCTGGCCACCTGCTGAGGTGGGCCACTGTCTCAGGGCCGTCATGTGTGGTGCCTCAGCCAACTGTCACATACACATGGGTGCACAGAGAGACCACACAGAGGCCCTAAGTGGAAAAGAGGCCACAAAACCGGAATAGGTGATCAAAAAATGAGTGAATGAAAATACAATACTATTAAAATATTAAACTTAAAAGTTGATGTTTTGTGACCAGTAATATGCTGTAGGAACTTAATTCTTGTTTATATCTATTAGCCTATGATAAAACTGGCTTCATTACCCATCATTTCTCTTAAAGTCAATTTCCAAAAACCTTGACATTGAGAATTTACTGATCTCAGGTTATTAACATGTCATATTGCTAATCAAGAAAAATGTTGAGAACATTTGTCAAAATCTGCTAAGAAGCCAATACTTTGTAGCCAAATCCCTGTAAGAATTAGTAAATTGGAGACAAACCTCTGAAAATCAATAGGCAACTGAGTTTGCTCTTAACATTCAATTCTAAGCAGATAAAACTGTCCACGGAAAGACAGTTTCTTTGTCCCTCCTCTTTAGCCCATGAACTTGCTCAGCGGTGCACTCTTATATTTTATGTGACGGGTTCCAGAATATGTCATCCCCAAATATGTCACTTAGATTGGAAATAGTGGTAAGCACCACACCCAAATTTTAGTATGAATTATCGTAACAATCATCTCCTAAGGTGCCACTGATCTCTCCTGAAAACCATATTATTCTCCCCTAAGAGACCTACAGAATCCCTCACTTTTTCCTATGATGACGGTACTTAAATCTAATTCCATTTTTTTGAGTGTTTCCCATGTATACATGATGTTAAACATATCGATAAATGCACTTTTATTAAGCTGTCTCAGTATAGGGTCTCAAGTAAGAAACTCAGAGGGTAGAAGGAAGATCCTATTTTCTCTCCCATGACTGTCTCCTGTCCCAACACTATACTATATATACAATATTTTGATTTAACATTATTTTCAACTATGTAAGATAGATCTTATTAAGCCCACTTTTTCTAAATTTTAAAAAGTGAGGTTTGAGAGATGATGGGATTGACCCAAGAGCTAGGAATCAGTCCGAGGGCTGACTTTGTGCAGTTTCCATCAGTTAACTGTCCTAGTATATTTTCCTTCTGGTCAAATTAGCTAGAACATAACTTCTATAATTTAAGATTTGACTTGACTATCAGAATCCCTGTGTTACCTGTAACTGTTAAAGTCATTAGAAAAACTAATAAACATAGGAACTAAGACCCAAAGGGAAATCAGGGCGATTCAATTGTAGGGACTCCAAATACTAACCTGATTAATGCAATCTGCTGAAATAGGAGAAATGTAAGTGCCCAAATATACCATATATAGCAATTATTTATTTCCTAAAGTAAATTACTGCTATTTACCTTTCTAGAAAATACTACTGAAGATCAATTATAAGCTGTAATATTCCATATTACAATGCAAAAAGCATGAAAATCCCACCATTAGGAAAGAGTTATAAAATTTGAATTTAGTCTTCACTCCAACCCTCTTAGTCATCTCCACATCAGTAAGATGAAGAAATCTGCTGTTGCACTTATAAAATGTTACCATCAAAAAGAAAATATGTATAAAAGTGCCTTGTGCGGAGAATATTTTAATTCTTAAGAGCTTTCTTCCAACTACATGACTAATGCAAACAGTGTGTGACTTCATGCAAGTAAGTTTGTTTTACCACCAATATTCACATCCACATTACTCTTAAAAAGCAGTAATAATTGGCAATATACCAAAATGGTATATATTCTGGAGAGACTGCTGGCTTAGGGCTGCACCCCAAAACTATGTACCTCTAGCCCCCAAGATCAAAGCTATTTCCTAGAATTAACTTGATTATGTCACAATAATATGAGGAACTCAGGTAGGAAGCTAGTCACTGACTAGCCACTGATTGACTTTCCTCCATCATATTCTCATATTGAGTCCCCTCTTGTCAGAACATATACTGCATACAGATTCTTACATATAGAAATCAGCAAGATTTCTTCATCTCTTTATTTTTTTTAAAGATTTCTTTATTTATGCATGGGGTAAGGGCCAAGGGTGTAGGGACAGTGAAAGAATTCACTAGAGACAAAGTGGAGAGCAGAATTGGCAGAGGGGTGAAGTACACTGCTGAGGGGAGCAGCGGGCGGGCCAGGAGAGGTCTGCAGCGCCATGTGGATCTCCTCCAGGATGGGTGATTGAACTCGCACTGAAACAGCTGCCACCAGCTTGCAGTGCTACATCCTAACTCATCAAGCCACCAGAGAGGGCCCGATTTCTCCACTGATGTGGAGATGACTAAGAGGGCTGTAGTGAACACTAAATTCAAATTTTATAACTCTTCCTTAGTGGTGGTTTTCATTGTTTTAGCACTGTAATATATGGGATTTTACCTCATATAAATGACCTTCAGTAGTGTTTCCATGGTTGTTCCTTCTTCTGAATGCTAGTCGCTCCACTTTTCATCCTGACTTTCCTTTTTTCTATTTCTCTTAAAAAAAATTTGGCTTTCATAACTACCATCAACAAGAGTGTGTTTCTTTGCCTTGGTTTTGTTGCTGTTGTTGCTGTTGTACCAAAGGCAACCCATGATGATAGATTTGATCTTTGCATACTCCAGTTTACATTATTAGTTACCACTGTTTACGGCCTGGACTGTTCATTCCCCAGCTTATTTGAGCAGTAAGGTTTCCAGAAAATAGGCCTCCCTGTAAGTGGAGTATTACTATACATGTTGTCAACATGGAAATGACTCAAAAGATAATCATGTGTCACAGAGAGCTTTTCTGGTTTTCTATTTCAACTTGTAAGCCCCGTTTTAAAAATAAACATTTCTTTTAATTGGTACCAGTGACATTACGACAGCAGTAATCAATCTGGAAAACAGATGAATACGTTTACAATACCTTTTAAAGCTTCCGTTTCTATGTCTACTAATGGCTTCCCCACATAGGCAATATCATCTAGATTGTAATACAGCTTTTTAATGACTCCATCATAACGACTAGTGATAGTAACAGAAGCTTTGTCACTTTGAACTTCACAGATGCTATCAAACTGAGACACTGTGTCTCCTTCTTTTACATACCTGAAAGAAAAAGACACAAAACATTTCCATGAACAATCACAAAAATAATCCTGACACTGTAAATGCCACACTGAGTTAGGTTAGTGTCATCTACCCAGCATAGTTCCAGATGATGCACCAAAGGAGGTTCCCGAAAAGTCTATATAATTAGTTCCAGGGTCTCTCTGTTATCTCACCAAGAAATATTAAGCATTTAATTAAACTTTCAGGTTTTCTGCTTCATACCTATTTCATGGAAGGAGTTCAAAAACATGTTTTAAAAGTGCTACTTCCTTTTATTTTTTTTTTTTCTAAAGATTTATTTATTTGTACATACAGAACTGGGGTATAGGCCAGAGGCTCAGGGGCAGTGAGAGGCTTCACCAGAGAAAGAGTGGGGAGCAGAACAGGCAGATTGATGAAGTACACTGCTGAGGCGAGCAGCGGGCAGGTCAGGAGAGGTCTGCCGTGCCATGTGGTCACCTCCAGGGCAGGCGGGAATCGAACTCATGCAGAAGTGGCTTTAGCTTCTTAATGCTGTGCTTTAACCCGCTGCGCCACCAGGGAGGGCCCTTTTATTGTTTTATATAAATCTTTCTTAGTCTTTAAAAGGATGCCTATTATTTATAAAACTTAGTCAAAAAAAATTCCCCCCAATGCACTTCCTTTGTAATTGATGAATTTTGGTTTGGTTTTCTTATTCTGTCTAGATAGAATTATTTTATCCTCCCTCCTGCATATCAGTCTTTTTATTACCTTAATTATTGAAGTAGAACATACAAGACTCTTCTAAATATTTTCAGGAAAATGAACAGAACAAAGATCAAATCAAAATACTATATAAAATTTTGATCTAATACCATTAGATAATGATGTAGTCAACACATTTTTTACTTATTACCATTAATACATTAAGATAATTGTTCGGTCATTCTTATTCCTTGTCTTCCAGTCTTAGCCAGTTCTCGTTCATAATAAAACATTATTCATGACATAAAAACTAGGATTAAAAACATACACAGATGTTCACTTCTAGAATGGCAGAGTAAAGACCTCCAGAATTCTGCTTCTTTATAAAAGCAACAAATACAATAACAAAAGTTACTGAAAATTAACTTTTTCAGAATTCTGGAAATTATAAAAAGGCTTGTAATAGCCATGAAGTACGAATCAAGAAAAGTGGCTGAACCTATTTACAATTAATTAATTAGCTAATTAATTAATAATTAAAATAATTTTATTCTGCCCTTCTTTCTCCAGATCAATATTAGCATTAGTTGAAAATAAACAAACTTACAGTAACAGGACCTGGCAGAACAAGTATGTAGCTCTATTTCCAAGAAAACTGTCACTATTTGACTTGTCTAGAAGTTGCCTGAAAAACCCTTTCACAGGGCTTGTCATTGTTTGATTTGAGTCAGAGCTCCCTCAGGGTATCTGCTGAAAATAATCCATAGCAATGTTTCACAATCACTGCTGGCTGAGGCCACGATAAAACCTGAGGCACACAAAAGGCTGGCCAAACATCTTGAAGGATTTGGGGGATAAGAGGTCCATATATCTCAACACAGAATTACATACTCATCACAATTTCCAATTTTCAACAAAATATTCTAATACCTGCAAAGAAGTAGAGAAGTTTGGTCCATGCATAGGGGAAACAGTCATCAAAAGCAGCCATCTCTGAAGATGCCTGGATGTTGCATTTATTAGACATAGACTTACCAGTATAATCAAGTGAACAAAATAAAGGTTCAAAGAGCTAAAGGATTATCATGCCTGAAGAATTAGAGGGAAATAGGGAAAAATGATACCTTACAAATAGAGAATATCAACATATAGAGGTAGAGTAATTATAGAAATAATGGTCAAAAACTTTATAAATTCGATTGAAGAACATTAATGTTCACATGCAAGAAACTCAACAAACTTCACATAGAAGAAAGCCTAGAGACGCACCCAGATCAGAAACATAATCAAATGACTAAAAGACAGAGAATCTTGAAATTACCTAGAGAAAAACACAGGATCACAGCAATTGAACATCATTTAGAGGTTATCTTTTTTGACTGAAGTAGGGGTTGGGCAGTGAAAGGAGTTTGTAAAAAGAAAAAAACTCCATAATAAATGATAAAGAATAAGATGTCATGATGTATGATGAACAGTGTCACCAGCACATCAGCGACAACAGCTTGACCTTAATGCTTTTAAGAAAAGCATTGTATATATTACAAAAAGAAGTTTCTTGATATAGATTCCAACCATTTTTTACTGAAATTATTTTTTATATCTACTAAAAAGTTTTCAGAATAACTTACCATTCTTTAACAGTTACTTCTCTAATCCCTTCTCCAATGTCTGAGAGTTTGAATTGAACAACCTGTCCCTGTAGAGCTTCAAAGACAAGTGAAAAGTACAGCCATTAAATATGTAACATATTGTGAATAGATACTTTTACAACTAACATTAGAAAACATTCTCGGAGGCAAACATTATTGCATTTTACAAAAAAGTGTTTTATAATTTTTTAAATTATAACCATCAAATATTTAATCAATTATTCAGTGCCAAAGACTTACTGACACTGTCAACATACAAAATAATATTCCTTGACGTGGGTATAGAAGGTCCTTCTCACAAAAGAGATTGTGAAACAACAGTAATGAACAGAAAAAAGAACAATTGGTGTTAAGTATCAAAAACCTTTTTTAAAATGTCAAATTGCTCAAGCAATTCTAGTTTTAAGACCATTTTCCCTGAGAAAATAGAGAAGTACTGAAAGATTTGTGCTCTATAATATTTGTTATACAATCATAATTGCAGAACTGGAAATCAATCAAAAATGATAAATACATGACAGCTCTACACAAAGCAGTATTATGCAAGGAACAGCATGCGCAAGAACATGGGTATAAGATAGTGTATAGCATGGTTAGGGAATGACAAACAGGTATATATAGCTAAAGACAAGATATGTGGCAATAAATCAGCCCATATTTAAAAAGCTTTTGTGTGCCACACTGAGTAAGGTGTTTGGAATTTATCACAGATCAGGAGCCAGAGATAAAGAAATATGGCCACAAATATTCTATGGCTGTCCCCTTAAGTGACAGAGATTATTTCACCACTTAAATCTGTGTTGGCCTGCTAGTTACTTTGACCCATAGGATACAACATAACTGTAATTGTACAAGTTCTAGAACCTAGGCCCCTGAGGATCTTGTAGTTTCTTCCTTCTTCCTCTTGAAATGCTGCCTTGAGATTTCCAGATCCCCTAAAGTTGATCTACTCTAGTAAAAGATGAGAGTGGTCATGTGAGACACCCAGTCCAATACCGGCACCAGGGATTCTCCCTGGTGGTGCAGGGGTTAGTCTCAGCACTATCATGCTATGTCCAGGCACTGCGGTATAAGTTTGATCCCTAGCCAGGGAGCTGACTCACGTGGCACAGCAGACCTCTCCCCTCAGCAGTGTATTTCAGGAGATCTGCCTATTCTGCTCCCCACTCTGTGTCTGGTGAATTCTCTCACCTTCCATACCTCTGGTCTGTATCCCAGTTCTTGTATGCATAAATAAATAAAAAATAAATCTTAAAAAAAAAAAAAAACCCAGCACCAATTGTCAGAAGAGTGAGACCATTTTGGACCTTTAAGACCAGACCATCCTCTAGGCAAACACAGTCCCACTACTGAGCCCAGGCAAGACCAGCAGAGAATGTACCCAACCAACTCCCAGAATCCTGAGAAACTCTAAGTCATCTCTGCTTTAAGCCACTAAGTTGTAACAAGTGTTATTCAGCAATAATTAACTGATAGGGAATCCCATCTACAATGTCCTATCTGTAAGTTTAGATCTATAATTAGAAAGGGTCCCGCAGGAATGAGGTAGATGGGGTTGAAAGATGGATGGGAGAAAAGTTGAGAGACCACTACAGGTATGTATATTTTTCAAAGATGTCTAAAAAGAAGACAGATTTAAAAAATAGATAAGATGGAAAATGAATAGATCTTGGTAATCTGTTGCGAGGTTTCTCCAGGTTTCTAACGATACTGAGTTAGGAATGTAAGAAGAGGATACACCCCAAGCGCTAGCGCTGTGCACTAGGAGGTGTTCAGTATTTGTGTTGAATGAATTTGTCACAACACAGTGAGCGACATCAAGATGATTATTCTCACTTTTCAATAATGACCCGGAGAAATTAAGTAACTTGCTTAAAAGTTACAGTTAGTAATTGGTAGGCCAAGAGCCCAAAGTTCATTGGTATTTAAGAGACTATCATAGGAGGTTGGAGTTTCTGCTTAAATGATCTCTATTTTCTCTGAGAAAAGATCAACTTTTGAAAACAGAAATCTTAACAAAACTGTCAAAATCTGGACAAACTGACCATTTTTTTTTTACTTTGAAAGTTTTCAATTATTAAAAAGAAAAAATACTGAGGAAGATACAAGACATAATTTTATTTTTTGAGATCCTACTTACCAGCAGTTGTTTTCAGGAACTGATGTGGATGACTATACTTGAATGAAGGATAACCAAAGAAACACACATATTTTGGCTTCAAAACATGAGCATTACTACACGTTTGAAAGTAACGAATACAAATCTAGAGATGAGAAAAAAAAATTTATAAATGATCTAACGCCTATTCTCTGTTAAATATATAAGAATTTCAAATCTATCCTAAACGTATAAAAATTATCACAATGTAAAAACACTTGAAATTATCTAGCTCCCAACCAGACAATGACAAATGTATTAAAGACCAGTTATTTCTCAGGCATTTCTGTTCGACAAAATCAAGGACCGAGAACCCTAGCACATTCTGTGGTTATTTAGTACGACTGCAATCCTAGAGTTAAGATTTATTCATATGCTTATGATCTGTGCCTAAAATTCCTTGTGAAAGTAAACACATCAGCTTGTCTGTGTACTGGAGTCATTAAAAGCTTCCTGAAATAGGAGGATAATGGACCAGGCAAGAAAATAATAAGAATAATGAACAGTCATATACCAGAGACATTTTGTGGGGGTGTAGTGGGAAATGGGATCAAAAAAGGGGGGGTGAGGGAGTGCATGGGACAATGTGATGGCACATGGGTGATTTGGTGATGGGAAACCCACAGGGATTACAATTTAGATGGAAAAACAATTACAAAATGATGTAAAAATAAACTATTATATTAAAAATAAATAAATATAGCAATTCATAAAAAAAAAGCTTCCTGAAATAAATCTACCGAAGAATTGAAAAATGACTGTTAGCATGTAAAGACACTAAAAAAGTGTCATATTGTACTTGAAACATTTTCGTACTCTATAGATGACTCTATATTAATTTTATATGACAGCTTAATATAAAATCATATGGTATGGGAATAAATATGCCTGCATGCATTCACTTAATATATCACAATCTAATCTACTTTGAAAGTTAACATCTTAATGTTTTTAATACTCGATTAACCATATCATACTTTTAAACATATGCTACATGATTTTCTGACTTTAACATATATGAGAATACTGGTTTGTATCTGAAATTTTTTCATTAGAAGTATTACTTTTACTTAAGGACATTACTCTATCATCAATTATGTTATCTTTTAGTAGTGGTGAACTCTTAAAATTTTAAAGATATATTGTAATATTGTTATATATTATAGTCATGTTGTAACATATAAACAAAACATGAGTAATCTTAAATCAGGCGTCTTAATTTTACTTCAGGAAATCATCCTAGAGCAACTAATCCTTACAGTATCTACATTTTATTCTGATTAATATTAACATTCAGGAAGCATAAAGCCTATCTAAAATAGACAGCTTACAGGTTAGAAGACAGTGAAAGAATTCTCTTTCTAACACCTCATTTTCCTTGTCCTTTCTTTCTCCTTCATCCCTCACAATCCTGGTCATGGTCAACAGCAGAATCAGAGTAAATCAACCTCTGCTCTATTATAAAATTTAGGTAGGAACAATAAATGGAAGTTTTGAATTATATAGTCACCTTAATTTAAGTAAGACAGTTCATAATTTAAAACTGAAAGAAAATTAAACTGCTCGAAGGTTCCACTTCAACAGCACAACTTTTTTTTTTTTAAAGATTTATTTATTTATTCATATAGAACTGGGGTACAGGCCAGAGATGCGGAGGGTGAGAGGATTCACCAGAGACAGCGCGAGGTACAGAACAGGCAGATCGACAAAGTACACTGCTGAAGGGAGCAGCGGGCGGGTCAGGAGAGGTCTGCCTCGCCAAGTGGCGCTCCTCCTGGGCAGGTGGGAATCGAACTCATGCGGAAGTGGCTTTAGCTTCTCAGTGCTGTGCTTTAACCCACTGCGCCACCAGGGAGGGCCCAACAGCACAACTTTTATTGAGGAACTATTAATGGGTCAAGGAAGGCAGAAAGTATCAAACTTAGCATTTATCAAGTCTAGTATATGCTAAGATCTTTATAAAGACTTTACAAGCATTACCTTCTTGTCTCATAAATGCCAGCTAAAACAGGCCCATTAGTCCTTTTTAATTATATGAGAAGCTAAGGAAGTAATTTGCCCAAGGTCACATAGCAAATGAATGGCAAAACTCAGCACTGAAGCCAAGTAAACTTGACTCCAAAGCCCAGGTTTGTTCTATCATATCACATTGCTACAAGTCAAAAAAATAACCCAGTTTTCAAGGACTGCATAACTACACTGAGATAAACACACACTCTCTCATAAGTGAAATATATGCTCTAATTTTTTGTGATAAGAACAGAATACAGGTGTTAGGTTTTTGTTTTTTTTTTTTTTCATTTAAGGTTGTCTTGACCTAGGAATGCTTCTTGAAGGAAGATTAGAGCTGGGCAATGACTAACAGATATAAATCATTAAAAGTGCAGAAACACCATAAACACAGGAACTGCAACAAGAAATTGATTTGTATGCCTGCTGGAGCAGTGAGTAGCTTGCTATGTCTTCATCAAATGTATAAAAGTCAACAGTAGAAAGACCTCAAGGACCAAACCAAAACTTGAGATACAAACCAATATCCTCAGATATGTGAAAGTTAAGAAACTGCTGGTCAAAGAAGTTTGAGCTTATAATTAGGAGCTACTGAAGAAAAAGGATAAAGAAATTAATTTAGTTGCAGCTTATTAATTAGATTACAACAAGCAAAACCTGAAAAGCAGAAATTAAGGAACCATAATAGTATTTGAAGCAGAAAATGACTCCTGACTGGGGTGACTTACAGCAGCAAAAGAAAAGCAAAACAACATCAGGATAACAAGCACTATGTGATCAATAGCGATTAAATGAAAAGCAAAAAAAGGCTAAAAAATATTAGTGAACCTGCTGGGTGGATGGGTTAAAAAGGTAAACAGAAAGAAGAGGGAAAAAAATGTTTCAAGTGGAGGAAAAAAACAGAACACACAAAAAATAGGAGAGGCAAAGGTTTAACATAGTAAAGAGATAAATAAAATTATTCAGCTCGGTAGTACACATGCCTAAAGAGAGGGATCAGGGGGGCTCGAGGCCTGGAAGTGAAATAAGATACAGGAGCTAGTTCTTGAATTCAAGTTGCTGACACTTTACTACAAAAGATAGGCAAAACAGTACACTTTAATGTGCTATGGTAAACGAAGAATCGAGGCACATAAATGATGCCCTAAGTGTATAAAACAAACATACAAGGCCTTCTTAATGTATTATAGAAAACAGAAGTTCTTGTTGCTTACAAATTTCTATAACATTAAAAATATATATATTTTAAAATAATATAATAGTTTATTTTTACATCATTTTGTGCATTTTTTCATCTCAGTTGTAATCCCTGTGGGCTTCCCATCACCAGATCACCCATGTGACATCACCATAGTCCAGTGTATTTCCTTCCCCCATCCTGTTTTTGATCCCATTCCCCACTCCACCCCCGTAAAATGTCTCTGGTATATAGCTGTTCATTATTATTATTATTTTCTCACTTGGTCCATTATACTCCTGCTATGAGTGAAACCATCCGGTATTTTTCCAAAAAGAATCATTTCTCCTGAGTCATTCAACAAGTGTTTACTGAGTAGCTACCGTTTGCCAGGTATTTAGGATTAGAGAATAGACACCCATCCCTCCTTAATGCAATGTGGAGACCATACTGTGCAAGCATGCAGGTGATTATCAGTGTAGTGAGGGAAACAGAATGTGATGGAACTCAAAGGAGGGGACCTGCCTGAAGAGAACAAACTTGAAGTAAGACATAGGGATGTGTAGGAGTAAGCCAGGGGGTGAGTAGGAGTGCCCCAGATAAGGCCATAAGGGCCTAATGCAAGAGTCTCCCAACAGAGGAAATACATGTGCAAAGGTCTGGTGTCAAGAGAATACAGTCTGTGTTCAATTAACTAAACTGCTGAAAAGATCTAGTGTAATTTAGTGTTAGGTAAAGGTGAAAAATTGTTGAAGTGGGGGTTAGAATGGAGGTTTTATCAAGAAATGAAGTTAGATTTGAAAGACCCAGATTATAAATTTCCTCATAGTCAGGTGAATTTTGGATATTTTGCTGAGGGAAGTTTTAAGCAAGGAAATGGCATTCTCAAATTTGTCTTCTTTTTTTAAGATCATGCTGGCTACACTATGGAAAATAAAACTAGGACATAATTAGAGAAATACCAGGATACCTGCAGTTGGAGAGAATGACTAACTTTTTGGAGAAATTCATAGGCTAGAATCAAAAGAAAAAGCAGTTAAGAGTTTAGTTCTAGAGCCTAGAAAAACCAGTTAAGAGTTTAGTTCTAGAGCCTAGAGTCTCATATAACTTTGAGGGATTATGGCAGACACTGAAATGGCAAAAGCTTCCTTGTGAAAAGCAGTGGCCCTATAATGAAGTCCTAGTCTGTGACTTTTGGCTGAAACCACTCTATACTCCTTCCTGCCTTGGCCATGAAGCTGTAGCAGCCCACTTAAAACCATAAGGGAAAGACCAAATGAACCCACAGCACTGAAAATAAGACAATGATCAATGCTAGCTTTCATCTAAAACTTTGGGATGTTTTGTATGCAGATATTTAATTTCCAATTGGTTGTCTGGGGCTTCATTTACTTGTGTCTGAAAAATACCTTCAGGCAAATGGATATGGACATGCCAACAAGAGACCCCTCAGGAAGACTGGCAAACTTCAAAATTCCTTATCAGATGGCCACTAAATTATGAAAGAAGTAAATGAGAGAACCTAAGAAGTGCAGAGGGCCAAAGTCATTGTCAGTGACACTCAGCCCTCAGCTCCTTGGAGGAGATTGGGATTGAGTAGGCAAAGATGTAGGAAGACTATGGAGAAGATGGTGTCAGTAGCAGAATTCGGAGAGTCCAGAGAAGGGAGGCCAGTTAATGACAGGGTATCCTCTGGGAACCCTCCGTCACCTCCAAGACCCCTCTATGTGTTCTGTTAGCTCCATGCACTTGTGCAATCATGGCACTTCTTAGGCAAGCAGTACTGTAACTGTGTGTTTAATTTCTGTCTCTGCCTGTCCTTCATGACGTTATGCTTAATCGCTTAAGGTATACAAGACGGTGTCTGATTAATAGCTGTATTCCCAGTGCCTAGTACAGCACCTGGCACATAGCACTCTTCTTGAGAGGGTTAGTAAAATCAGTGGTCAACCCTTGTAGAAAGGATCGAAGGAATCGGGGACCCAGGACGAAAATGTCATGCAAGTGGCACAAAACATGAGTCCTGAGAGACAAAGTGTTTGGCGCCGAAAGACTACGTGAAAGGGGGCAAACTGCATGGGACGTGGTGGTTCTGCTTATAAAAAGGCTGGAAAGATTATTTGGTGCAGACAGTAAAGGCATCGACCTAACAGTGACACTCAATCCTCAGCTCCTCGGAGGCAAGGACTTGTGGTGCTACGGTCTGCTCATCTGGTCTCTTCCTCCACACAGTAAGTTTCCCGAGGGCAGGGGTCGTACAATCAATATCTGGCACACACGGGTGCTCAAGGTGCCAATGGATGTCTAAGCACCTGTGGCAAAGACGGTGCTCCCTGAACAGCTAAAAAGAACTAGGAGTGCAGCTGCAACGGGACGGCGTCCCAATGTCGGCAGGAACGGACTCAGGTAAGGGGAGGCAGTGGGTTTCCACACCCGTCAGCTGACCAACCTCTCTGCCCTTCGGCAG